AGTGAATTTTCTCTCATTGAGAAATATGCATATACGTACCTGGATGTCTGAATTTTTAATTAAAAAAAAAAAACAGTAATACTTTTCTGTTTGGACAAAAATGAAGAAAAGATTATCCAGAATAATATCAAAAGACATTAACTCTCATTTAGAAAAATTGCTAGTCTTTTTCAAAATTGTAATTGAAATTCACTTTCAGCGTATGTGCAAAATTTAAATACAAAAAAAAATTGTAAGCATTCAAATTTGGAAATGCAGTATTGCTCTCGGTTTCTAGTATCCAAATTTAAATCTTGATTTTTTAAGCCCATAATTTCATAGATAATTTCAAAATAAAAAAATTAATTTCAGTTATGGGAAAAATCTGAGTAAGATAATTAACCCTTTGACTGTCGCAGGCCCCTTTCTGAAACTGTCATTCTATGTCGCAAAATATTCGAAAAAAAAAATAATTTTTTCTTATGAAAATGTTAAGATTATTTTTCTGAGTGTTTTAGTCCAAAAAAAAAAAAATTCTGCCATCGGTACTTACCGAGATATAGAGGTGTGAAGTTTGCAGAAAATGAGCCGCGTATAGCAACAGCGGCGACTGCCGCTCACCCAGTAAACTTTGGTTTACTTGTATTTGAAGATTTTTTTTTTTTTTCACTATTTTATTTTTTCACATAACTTATGTGGCCTGTGAGACCAAAGTAAGGTGCAATGTACATATATACACTCGTTGTATACAATACAATAAGCACACAAACATAATTATCAATACAGTGGCCCCTCGCTTTTCGTAGTTCTCGGAAATCATAGGGGTATTTTCGTATAAACATGGACTCGCTCTTCATAGGTTGACTCGCGAGTAGTAGTTCGTCTGGGACTCGTACCCACAGCGTGAGCCGGGGCGGCAGCCAGTCTGGCATTGTTTACCAGTGAGCGAAGGTCCCCTCACGTGCTCCAGCGAAATATTTCATAATATTCCATTTATTTTAGTGCTTGCAAGTACTAAATAAGCTACCATGGCTCCAAAGAAAGCTCCTAGTGCTAAGCCTGTGGTAAAGAAGGTGAGAAATACGATTGAATTTAAGAAAAACATCATTGAACAATATGAAAGTGGTACAAGTGCGGCCGAACTGGCCAGGATG